ATTACGCATTTTAAAACACTGATCGTGGGCCACACCTCCACTCACAATATGTCATCCTTTATGTCAACTCAATGTACAATTAGATTAATTCTATACAATTTTACCATTAATTTTAACGAAGTTTTCAAATTAATAATCTCGATTTTGATACCTCAAAGCTTTAAGTTGGGAATTCTTGGACCAATTACAATAAAATACAAGTACTGTAAATGTATTTTTCCAGCTACGGGCAACTATACCTTTTCATTCATGTCTCAAAGTCAGACTGCCCTTCAAATTACGCATTTATTCTCATCTCCCCAATCCTTTTCCCCATAAACATCACGTCTTTTCTGTAAAACCCAGGCCCTTTTTCGTCCACAAGAAAATCTTCACTCCCCTTCTTCGTACTCTCTATGCCCACCCCACTCACAAAACGTAGCAGAAATTAGAAAAAAGAAGGGAAGAACTATGGAACAATCATTTTTTCCGACAACCACCACACGATCGGAGGCTTTAAGGTGGCTGACAATCGCCGAAAAGTTGTTGTCAGCGCGTGATTTGCTTGGAAGCAAGTCATTTGCGACCCGGGCTCGGGATTCCGACCCGACCCTCTTGCAGTCGGAACAAGTCCTCGCCGTGACTGACACGCTCCTCGCCGGTGATCGGCGGATCAATAATAACCAGCTTGATTGGTACTCGATTCTTCAAGCACCCCTCCAGTGCCATGACTCGGAGCTTATTGCAAATCAGTACCGCCGACTAACCCTTTTATTAAACCCTCAGAAGAATAATTTTCCCTTTGCCGACCAGGCGTTTCGACTGGTGGTGGACGCGTGGTCGGTGCTCTCTAATCCATCGACGAAATCGGTGTACGATAAGGAACTGGGTTTCCATCTGCAGCAACAGCCCGACCCTTTTAACTCTGTGTCGGCTCAAGAGCATTTGACTATTCCTTCGATGCAGCAGAACTTCATGTTTTTCGGAGGAAGCAGCAGTAGTGCAAGTCCTCATGTCACCCAACCACCAGTACACGCTAGCAGTACTATTTCTGCGAGTCATATCCCTCAAGCACAAGTACCTGCACACGTTGTAGGTCCCGATCCGATAACTTTTGGGTCGAGTCATCAACAAGTGAGTAAGCAACCATTGCACGGCTTTATTAATTTTTCTTCAGGTGGTAATATAGCTTTTGGGTCTGGGTCGGGATCTGTTTCGACTCAAGAACAAGTGAATAAACAGCCACAACAAAGTTACCCTAGTTTTGCTGGGAATGTAGCTTCTGCGTCTAGGTCAACCCAGGAACAAGTGAATAAGCAGCCACAACCAGAGAAAAATTATTCTAGTGTTACAGATAAAAGTCATAAAAATGGTCAGGAGACTGCTGCTGATGAGAATATAGAAGAGGTGGAGAGAGTGGATGCACCCGCAGGTGATGGTGTGCCGACATTCTGGACTGCGTGTCCTTATTGCTATCACATGTATGAATATCCTAATGTTTACACTGACTGTACTCTGCGATGTCAAAAATGTAAAAGAGCGTTTCAAGCAGTGGCTATTCCATCGCCACCGCCAATTGTGGATGGTCAAGAGCAGTACTTCTGTTGCTGGGGATTTTTACCATTGGGTGTTTCAATGGCAAATTTTGAGAAAAATCGAGCTGCAGCTTCACAGTGGACCCCGTTTTCGCCTATGTTTACTTCCCCCCAAATGAGGAATGCAACTAGTGCGGATAATAAGGTTGGACGGAAGAGCTCAGCCCCTAGAGTATATATCGATGATGACGATGATATTGTGGAACTCTCAAACTCGAGTGGGTCTGATGATGATTGGAAGAATGATAGGGAGAAGAAGAAAAAGAAGAAGAAAGTGAATAGTGTTAAAGGAAAAGCAGCTGGCAGGAAGCCAAATAAAAATGTGAAAAAAGCACAAGTTGATAAAGCTAAAAATGTGAATGTACAAGATAAATTTGTAGCTTCACTGGACGTGGAGACGCCTAGTAAGCCAACAGGTGAGCCGAGTAAGAAAGGGTCTGCAACTAATGCACGGAAGCAACCTGGGAGAGTTGCAAAGAACTTTGGGAAGTTGGATTTGAATGTGGAATTTAGCAATGAAGTTGAGGAGCCTGCTCCCAGGGTGAACCAAGGAAATGGATCAGGACGTGGAGAGGATGACAATATCGAAGGGAATGGGTTTTTCGAGGGTCTTGATGAATTCCTAAGCAGCCTTCCGATTCTTAATGTTGTAGGCGATGACAAGGTTGTCAAGGCTGCTTAACGAAGTAAGACTCTTTGTTGTAGTTGTAGGCATAATAATGCCGTCGATGCTGCTTAGGATAGCAAGACCTTGTTATAATTTTCGTCTTGTTGTAATGGATGATGTAGATCAACTCATGCATTTCGTTTGATGGTTTTATTGTGGTCTAGTTTAATGGATATATCGCGTGTTGGATATTTCTCGATGTGTAGCTGTTACAATTAACTTATTAAATTCAGTCGATTTTCTTCTCTATTTATTAACTATGAATTAGCTCAACTAAGTTGCGAGGCTTTGAATTTAGTATCACAGGGAATTAGCCGATAACGCGTCTTTCCTTTTCTGCTTTTGATTTGTGTTTATTTAGCTTATAAAATGGAGTCTCCCACTTGGTTCTTATCCTTCTGCTTCGAGCAGGGTAAGTGGCTTAATTGGTATGTCCATCTGTTAATTCAGGTAAATGGATTTTTTTTCCTCAGTCAGTGAAAATTAAGTTACCGAGTATTGCTACATGATTTAGAGGGGCAAGGATTAATGATTTTAATTATTGGATTGATACACCATGAAATTATAAAAAAATACCGTATCAATGTTGCATCTTTAGCCTTTTGACAAGAATGCACAGTAGGACATGAAAAAGAAAAAGGGAAGTTGATAATATAGTCTCTGTGAGACTGCCATGAATGCCCCTTCCATCAGTGGAGAATGCGACGTCTATCCTCCTTCATGCTAATCAGTCATCAATGAGCTTCTCTTCACTTTTGGAGCTGCTGGTTTGTCACAAGGGCAGATTATGTTAGATTTCTTTAACGATACTGTTATCAGGTACTAATAATTGATGTTTTCCTCTTAGCTTGAGTTTGGTGTTATACTGCTTACAGCTGCAGAATCTGTTGATTTTGGAAATGTGCTTCAAAACTTGGTCTTCAGGTGCTAGTTGCTATGGATTTTATTTCTTGGTGTGATACATTGTGCGCTAGGAGTGCTATTTGTTAAAGAAATGCTAATTGTGGATTTTACTTCGATCTTCTTTAACAGATGAAGTGGCAAATCAAATTGAATAGAACGTTGGACATCATTTGTATCCGTAATTGTTCCCATTATATGTTGTTATGTGAACTAGTATTGAATCGTGTTCGCCTTTTTATTTCATTATAGGTGCATTGCTTCTTTGAATGTCCCACGTACAGTTCGGATCCTCTTTCTTGTTGAAGATTTTTATGATTTGTTGTAGCGAGATAAAAAGTTCAATCCGGCTAGAGGTTGATCTGTTTAGTTTTCTGTGCTGATAACTGTGAACTAGGGACGTGCTTCCTTCAGTGACATGAGACCATGTTTTTGCATACTCGAGTCATTCTTTCTCCTGGGAAAAGAGAAATGTGTGTTTCTGTACAGCTAGATTTCATCATCATATGTAAATAAAGAGGAGAAATTCACATTGGTTCAACATCAGGTGAACCGGTTATTCAGTGCAGGCAAGCAAAATAATATTTTTTTTGGGAAATATGCTACTCATTACCAATTATTATTAATTTAGCGTAAGGTTGGAAATCTGGAAAGCAGAACATAAAACTGTCTTAAAAGCTACCAGACAGACTAGTAAGGTGAGAAAAGGAATCATCTATTTCTGTCTTAAAGCTTGTTTGTGAAATATTTTTTCAATTGAAAAATGATTTATTTATTTATTATTTTTTTTTTTTTGGGAAAATGTGTGGTTAAATACGAGATCCGAGCCTTTCAGTGGAATAATTCTTCATTGGAAGACTATAGAAACTTGCTGGTGTTGAAGGAGCAGAGAGACGATTCAGGGGCTGTGAAAGCTTGGCATTCACAGAAGGTAACTTATTTTTTTTTTTTAAATATCCTATATGGCTATACATTATACATCAGAGCGAATGGTTCACTGGTAAGAAATTGCTATCCCAAACAAGCAACGTTACTAAAACCTTTAGAGAGACCTGCATTCGTTACACTCATTTTCAACCACAAATTCACTCAATAAGGTCATGTTTGACAGCCATTATTTGGATTTTTTTTTACGTATTTATTTTCAACTATATATTTACACAATAAAAATACATAGTTTTTTGAAAATAATGGCCACCAAACAGGGGTTAAAATATTCTATACGTAAATATAAATTATTATTTTTTTACTTTTTTAACCACACTTTCCAAAAAATCACTATTTAAAACAATATTTTTCTAAAAAATAACCACGAAACAGGGGCTACAAGAGAGAGAGGGTTGCCAAAATTAAATATCCGTTGCGTTTTTTCATCTCACTCAATTTCTGGCTACCTAGTTTTTGCATAACAAGATCATATTTGGTTCAGCTAAACAAAGAAATAAAATTTAAGTCAAAATTAATAATTAATATTAAATGTACATTAGCTCATATTTGGTCCAGCTAAAAAAAGAATCAAAATTTAAGTTAAAATCAATAATTAATTTTAAATATACATTTTATGGGATTTACCATAGTTTGATCATACATTACAACAACTTTTATAAAATTCTATTAAAAATCTAATTTTTATTTAAATCACACAGAGGATGAGTAGTAATATTTGGTGACATCTTAACATTTAACGGCGCTAATGCTATATAGGATTTAAAGCTATTCTTTTTATCCAAGCGGTTGTTAGTGAAAATTTACATGGAATATGACTTTTTCGAATGTAAAATTTCGAAAATTTTTTATGTCATATTCCATATAAAATTTCCTAATAAAATGATGAAAATTACATTGAAAAATTTGTATCGCAAAAATAATAAATGTTAATTAAATAATTGAATTTAAAAAAATGCAAGTTAGACGTCTTTTTTTAAGA